TGTGAGAGCTACAAAACGAAGTGAAGGCCTGCGGGCGCCGGGAGCTGAGCCTCGCAGTGCGCCCCCCATCCGTCCTTCCTAGTCCCGTGGCCTCCACTGTAGATGAGGGTGATGGGGGGAGTGATCGCGTTACCTGCCTCCCCAGGCAGGAGACGCAAAGGATCAGGAAACGGGTGGAGAGCGCTGTGCAAATAAAATGATTTCATCATGGTGCCACTGGACTCGTTCAGTCCTTATTTTTAGACACCCAGGGACCTGGGATGCGGGGATGACATGTCTCTGGGAGCACAGGGTGGAACGACATCTCGGACCTGGGGCTGACTATGTGGATGCCTAGTTTCCCATCTAGATCTTAGTGGGAACCAGAAGAATTGTCTTTGAAAATAACCAAAACAAACCCACCAGAATGTTGTGTTTTCAAATCAGGAAACTTCGGGGTAATTGACAACATCCAAATAAGAAGGTTGACCTTTTAAACTAACCTGGCCCTTCCTGGCTTCTCTTCCCCGCCTGCGACACCAAGATAAGCCCGGGAGAAGGCATCCCATACCGATACCGAGTCTCAGGACTCCCCCTCCCCTTTCCCAATCATTTGGATTAATCCATCCCTTGCTGTGTGTGTGTGGGGGACCCATTAATTTCCCTGGCCTCAGAGACTCCCAAGTCCAGTAGGAGCCCTTCCCCCAACATCTCCCAGTTACGACCAGTCCCCCCATCTAAACCTTCCAACCCTTCCCCTCCCTCTTCCTCAATAGCTGGTGTCTGCAAACAGCTCCGGGACCGTACAGGAGAGCCGCCTTCATAATTTTGACCAGCTATAACCCCCCACTACCAGCGTATTGTTTAAGTGAAGAGTGGCCGCCTCTTTGCTTAGGGAATAAAAGCGGGTTGTTGTGGGAGGAGGCTCAGAGAGCGAGCATCCTAGAATCTCAACCCAGGGCCCCTGCCGAGCGGGACCCTGCGGGACCTTGCACGTGAGTAGGACGTCTGTTGCAGACAAGGGGTCCCAGGAACTCTGGGGTCCCATCTGCTGGCCTCTAGACCGCTAAAGCCCCTCTGAGCCCCCAAGGTTCCCTACAGATGGTGGCGCCCCTTGCTTTCCTCATCTATACCTGCCAAGCAGCACGGGAAAAGATGTATACATTTTAACAAAGACATCGCATCTTCCCAGCAAAATGGCGGTGGTCCGGGCCACGGCTCCCTGAACAACTCACACTTTCCGAGGATTAGTCAGGACTCAAGCAGCGCGACCCCCTCCTCGACCTCCCCGCTAGAGCCCCATTTTCCCAAGCTCCCAAAGCTCTCAGGGCCTCTCCTCATCCCAGGGGCCCCCAAGACAGTCTTTGGTTAGAGCCTGCGGGGCAGCTCCTTCATTGTGGACCGCCCCCCTCACTGCCTTCAGGGAGCCTTGGGAGGGGGACTGGATCCCCAGGCTGGGCCCTAGGGGTAGGGGCAGCGAGCTCTGTCTCTGACACCCCAAAACTCCTAGGCTGAGGGAGGACTATAAATGAATTCTCAGTTAGGACATATGGAGGATGTGGGGGTCTTTGAGGAGAAGAGGCGGCTCGGAGACCCCTCCTCATTCCCTCAGGGGACCTGGGCAGCATTCGGGGTTCGGTCTCAGGAGAGAACCTCGACGTAGAGGTCAGGGGGCGCGCTGGGGGAGCGAAGACAGAGGAGGGGGAAGGGACAAAGTTTGAAAGTGCCCTTCCAACTCTTCCAGGGAAAGTTTGCTTGGGGGCCCCATGGACAGAGAGAGGGTAGAGGTGCGGGGGGCCCGGTGGCGGGATGACCCCCGAGAGGTGACCGGACCCCGGGGGAGGGACCCCTCCCCCCTGTCCCGGCTCGGCCCGGCTGGGAGTCGCCCGGCTCGGGGCCGCGTGTGTTAGTTGGGGCCGCTTTCGGGCCGCTCCGCCAGGCTGGGGGGTCCCGCCGCGGGCCGGGAGCGGGGTCCCCGGTAGCCCCAGGGGGGAGCTTTGCTACGGGGGGTTTCCCGCACCGGGGCTCCCCGGCCCCGCAGAGCCAGACCCCGGCAAAGGGGAAATGTGCCGGCGCGCCAGCGGTCCTTGGCGCCGTTTGGGGCGCGTGGCGGGCGCGGGGGGCGGCGGCCGGGCCGGCGGGACGCCCGGTGGGGGAGCCCAGAGAGCCAGGCAGCGTCCCCGGGCGGCGGCGGGGAGCGGGAAGGCCCGGGCCGGGGGGAAAGGTCGGATTTGCTCAGCGGAAGAAACACAGATGGCGGCGGCGCGGCGCCATTCCGGGCCGGGAGCAGGCAGCCAGCAGCCCTGTCCTCACCGCGGTCCGCCCGCCGCCGCTAAATACCCGGATGCGCCGCCCGAGCGCCAGACGCGGAGCTGGGAAAAGGGAGGCAGAGGAGGCGGAGGCGGAGGCAGACCCGGGCGCCGAGACCGACCGACAGACCGGCGAGGTTGGGCCACGCAGACCCGGCCCAGCGAGTCCCCCCCCCCGCGACCCGAGCAAGGTCCCCGAGAGACGGCCTCGGACTGGCTTGGGAGCCAGAGGCACCACAGCAGATCCCGAATCAGGCTTTCCTGGGCTTCCGACGAGGGCTGGCCCTTTGGAAGGTGCCTTCTTCAACAGCAGGACCAGGCAGGCCACCATGACCGAGAACTCCACATCCACCCCTGCGGCCAAGCCCAAGAGGGCCAAGGCCTCCAAGAAGTCCACAGACCACCCCAAGTATTCAGACATGATCGTGGCTGCCATCCAGGCGGAGAAGAACCGTGCTGGCTCTTCGCGCCAGTCCATCCAGAAGTACATCAAGAGCCACTACAAGGTGGGTGAGAACGCTGACTCCCAGATCAAGTTGTCCATCAAGCGCTTGGTCACCACTGGGGTCCTCAAACAGACCAAAGGCGTGGGTGCCTCGGGGTCTTTCCGGCTGGCCAAGAGCGACGAGCCCAAGAGGTCAGTGGCCTTCAAGAAGACGAAGAAGGAAGTCAAGAAGGTGGCCACGCCAAAGAAGGCCGCCAAGCCCAAGAAGGCTGCCTCGAAAGCCCCAAGCAAGAAGCCCAAAGCCACCCCAGTCAAGAAGGCCAAGAAGAAGCCGGCTGCCACGCCCAGGAAAACCAAAAGACCCAAGACTGTCAAAGCCAAGCCAGTCAAGGCATCCAAGCCTAAGAAGGCCAAACCAGTGAAGCCCAAAGCCAAGTACAGTGCCAAGAGGGCCGGCAAGAAGAAGTGACAACGAGGCTCTCCTTGTGGACACTCCTGCCTGTCTCCTATTTTCTGTAAATACTTTTCTCCTTTCTTCTCTCTTGATCCTCATCTGCAGCCCTTTGCCCCCTTTCCTTCTGACTTTATAAAGAGACAGTTTGTATTCCTCAGAAATTAGGGAATAATTCATTTCTCCTTAACCAATCATGCCAGGACAGCAACGACAAATCTCATCTCTGTAATGATGAGAATGTACTTATATTTTGTTTTGTTGATTTGTTACTAATATGCTTATGGGTTTGGGGATTTGGGTGGGTTTGTGTGTTTTGTTTAGTTAGATGGCTGGTTCACTCTGAAGGTCAAAGTCGTGGGGAGGGGGAGAATGGGCAAAGCAGCTTCTTGAGGCTAGATGACAGCGAGCCCAGGAATTGTAAGGTTTGTAGGAATACCTATGAGGCCATCGAGTTTTCTTTAAGTTGAGCACTGCTTGTGAGAGTTTCAGAACGTAGGCGCGGAGGAGAGGGGTGGCAGCAGCTGGACGGCAGAGGAGGGAGGTGGAAAAAATACCCTCTCGAGGCTGGCTTCCACCTCCCGGTGGTGAGCAGTGGGGCGTCCAAATCCAGTTTCCTTGTCACTTCTGTTAAGTCTGCCCCAGTGGCCTCCCTATTGTCCTAGAGATGTGGAGGGGGTTGAAGTGACAGCTGGTCTGAGAAACTGTGGCTTCTCTCAGTCAGCTGGAAACTAGCCACTGGAAGTGGGGGGTGGGGGTGGGGGGTGGTCTTTGGCTTCCGAAAGTCTCCTGTTAAACAGGAGTGGAAACTTTGGGGGAAGGGTGAGAGTCATTCAGCCAAGTGCCTCAGTGTGCCCTGTTGAAACTTGGGTTTTTCCACACAATTGGATTGTATCCTAGGAGGACCTTTTTGCTTTTCCCCTGATTTTTGGTTCCTCCTGTACAAGAGGTGGCTTTGCTTAGCAGTCTGGTGGGGCTCCAGCCCTGCCGCCCACCACTTAAAAACCTCCCGACCTCTTTACTTCTGAGTCTTTTATAAGTAGTTGTAGACGGGGGAGGAGGGGAGGGAGGGGAGTGGACGGTAAGACATACTGCAGTCGAGTTTGAATCGCTAAGTAGTTGTAGAGAGCTAGGTCTGTGTGATGTCTGTGTATACGTATATGTACATATCTAGGGCTAGTACTTACGTTTCACACCCGGGAGCTGGGAGAAAAAACCTGTACAGTCGTCTTTCCCTTGTTTTTAATAAAACAGAAAAACGTGCAATTGCGCGTCCCCCCCCCCACCCGCCTCCTTTTTGTTTGTAAACAAGTGTTACTTGTGCCTGGAAGAATTTGCTGTCTTTGTAATTTTCAAACTTTAAAATAAAATTGAAAAAGAAAAACCTGAGCGATGTGTTTTTCCGTACTTCTAAGACTGGAGGAAAATGCGGAGCAATTGGACTGGCGATCAGTGGGGGAAATCGGGGGGCGTTTGCACCTGAGAACCGGGGGGGGTTCCAAGAGCTCAACAAAACCCGGGAAACGCTAGGGCCGGAGCGCACGGAATATGCCTCAGCCTGCTTCTAGGTGTCTGCTTCCGGCGTCCAGAGGGCATCCCCTAACCTTCCGAGAGGTGGGTGTGGAGGCAGGGCATGGGAATGGGGTGGGGGTCTGGTGGGCCCGGCCCTGACTTGCCTTCCAACCCCCGTCGCCTCCCCTCCCCCCACACGGACAGCTCCAGTCTCAACTTACAAATCAATTCACTTTAGTCCACTGCAGATCCCGCCAGGCCCCGCCCGCCTATCCCGGGCTCCGCCCCCCTGCCCCGTAGCTGAGCCCCTCTCACTCCTATTGGCTGCCGGAGCCCGGCCCCCGCCACGTGATCAGGCCGCGGCCGCAGTGCGCAAGGCCGGGAGTGGGCAGGCGAGGTGGGCATGATGTGGGCTGGCCGCGTCTTCCGCGCTGCGCTCTCCGGGGCCCCCCGCGGCCACCGCGCGCAGTCAGCGCTGGCTCAGCTGCGTGGCATCCTGGAGGAGGAACTGGAAGGCATCCGCGGAGCTGGCACCTGGAAGAGTGAGCGGGTCATCACGTCCCGTCAGGGGCCGCGCATCCACGTGGACGGCAACTCCGGAGGTAACTCCCCCTCCTGGGAATCCTCAGACCTGGCCGGGTGTTCGAGGGCCGTTCTGAGGCTTTCGCTGAAATGCGAGGTCCTGGAGGCAGTGGGCGGGCGGGAGCGCACACGTAGCCGCTGGACCGTTTCCCGTCTATCAGACCGACTTGCCGCTTCCCACAGTTAACTCTAACCTGGTTAGACCAGTTTCCACGGAGGCAGGTAATTTGCCCTTTGAGCACCTTTCTGGCTTAGAGGGCAGGGCTGGATCGATCCAACCCTATGAAAACGTGAGAAACAAAGAGAGACAGCTGGCTCCCACCGTACCGCTCAAGGAAGGGTGGTAGGAAGGTGGCAACAAGAAATCCCGCATTTCTGGAGCTGCTGCTTTGTTCAGGCTTCTACTAATTGCTTCACGTGGACTCCTGCAAACGTCAGAACGTGGGAATGACTAATCCCGTTTACAGACGAAGAAGCTGACGCTCAGAGATGTGAAGTGGCTTGCCTAAAAGCCCCCAGCTAGCTGCAGGCAGAGCTGGGCTTTGGCCTAGATCTTCTGGTATATTGGAGCTGGAAGGTCAGCTAAATGGCCATAGAGACCAACCTCCTGGCCAAAATCACAGGGAGCAAGGGGCTCAAGGGCTGTTGCAGAAGTCACACCATGAATTGGCCCACCAGGCCTCCCGGGTTTCTGTCTCATCAGTGGTCACTGCCCATCTTGTCTGTGCCAGACCCCAGGTGGGTGCTGGTTACAAACAGTCCCCCCCCAGACTGCCTTCTGCCAAGGAAATAGGCATGGAATCCTTGGGGCTGTTGTGCTCATTTGAAAAATAGGGGCCCTAGGAATTCACTACCTTTCCCCAGGGAAGCTTGGAGCAGGGCAAAAAATGGAAAATTAGCAGACCTAGGTTCTCATCGTGTTTTTGCCTCTCCCAAGCTGAGTAAACCTTGCCCTCTTGAAGCCTTAGTTTCCTCCCCAGGTCACCTGTGTTCACTTTGGGCTTTATAATTCAAGGGTCAAGGTCTCAGAGGCAACCCTGCTGGGCATGCAGTTCTGTACCAGGCAGCAAAGTCAACTGTGTAGAGTTTGGGGACCAAGGCAGGCGTCTGACGCAGCCCTCTTCTTTTACCCACGAGGAAACCAAGGCCCAGATGAGGGGTTGTTGGTGGTCTTCAGGGACAGAAGAAGCCAGTGAGGAAGGGCTGGTTCCTCTGGGTGAATGTGATCCAAAGCCAGAGTTTAAACTTCTCATCTTTGAAGGTGTAGCCCTGAGAGTCATTTTCTAACCCTCCCTCTCCTGTAGCTGTTGGATTTGGTGCTTCCGAGGGGCTCCCAGCTCCCCATCCTGGCCTCTGCCCCAGAACAGACTATACTGTGTAGTTGTTGCCTCCTCAAGGGTGAATCCAGGTTCATGTCCTCTCTGAGTCCCCAGGGCCTAGTACTGACACCTTTCCAGGCCCTTCTTGGCCCTGAGCTGCTGTGTCCGTTCCCCCGTCCTCCACCTCAGGAATCCTTAACTTCTGTGCCAACAACTACTTGGGCCTGAGCAGCCACCCCGAGGTCATCCAGGCAGGTCTGCAGGCCCTGGAGGAGTTTGGAGCTGGCCTTAGCTCTGTCCGCTTCATCTGTGGCACCCAGGTACACAGTAGGTGTTGCCCAGGCCGGGGATGGGCGGGGGAGGAAGGGGGGTGGTCCCCAGCGTTGGGCGCTGACTCCAGATGTCTGCTTCTGCCGTTAGCAGGGCTAGTTTAGGCAGCTCAGCTCATCCCACTAGAGCTGTCCACTAGAAAGGCTGGGTTCAGGCTTCTGGTTTGCTGTGAAGCCTTGGGCAAGAAACTTTCCCTCTCTGAACATCCATTTCCCCACCTGCAAAACAGAGCTCCTTACACCTGTTCCTCCTTGGGAAAGGAAGAAGAGAAGGCAGGGATTAGATTAAGGTTTCTGGAGCTATTCTGCCTGATCTCAGTTCCCAGCACCATTTATCGGTTCTGGAACTGTGGGCAAGTGTCTTAACTTCTCTGTGCCGCAATGCCTTCATTGGTAAAGTGGGGATAATTTTACTTAACAGAATTATCCCAAATTAAAGAGTTAATATGTGTAAAAATGCTTAGAACAGTGCCTGGCACATAGTAGTGCCAGTAAATGTTGGTTATTCATTTTATTTTGTAAATGTTACAAAATGAACTTTTATAAACATGAAACTTACAGTGCTTGCTATGAGTCAGGTGCTGTTTTAAGAACATTACAAATATTAACTCAATGCATATAATAATCCTACGTGATAAGTACTGGTTTTGCTCCTGTTATAGAGGTGAGGACACTGAGTCCCAGAGAAATTAAGTGACTTGCCCAGGGCTACACAGCCTGTTGTGGTGGGATTTGAACCCAGATGGCCTAGCTCAAGAGTCAGTGCTGCTGAGTTCTTGTGATTATTATTACTTGTCCTTTCAGAAAGGTGAAGGTGAAATGAATGGAACTCTTGACTCCCGTCCAGGGCACTTTAGACGGGACAGCTTTCAAATCTAAGAAATGGAGGCCCAAGTGAACCTAGAGTTACTTATGTAATCCTCTTTTTTGCCATTAAGCAACAAAGGCACTCAGTTTGATATCGGGGAGACACATCTTCCTTTGCCATTAGCACCCATAATTCTACCATCAACCCCCCATTATAAAACGAAGACCCAACCAGGAAGAAGGGCGCCTAGTGGGCCCCTAACTCCTCAGTGGGAACCATGTGCCAGACTCCTGTTGGCTCTGGGTGCACCTTGTGGTGCAAAAAGGAGGAGGAGGATCTGTTTGTGGCCCTGTGAGCCTCTGTCCCCAGGACTTGTCCCAAGTGGCCCAGAAGGCGTTAACACCTGTTTCACTCACTTACCTCAGAGCATCCACAAGGATCTAGAAGCAAAGATAGCCCGCTTCCACCAGCGGGAGGACGCCATCCTCTATCCCAGCTGCTTTGATGCCAACGCCGGCCTCTTTGAGGTGTGTGAGGCCACGGGTGGGAGTTGGTGAGACCTGCGAGGCTGTGGAAGGCTTGGGAGTGTGCAGTCCAGAGAACTTGGCTGGATGCCCAGTACCACGCCTAGAGGCTCCAGTCAGTGTCTATTTCTTATGGAGGTCAAGGGTGGGCCAGTAGGTCTCCAGGAGGAATCCTGGGGCTTACAAGGAGGCCAGCTTCCAGGGCATTTGGAGGATAACCTACTTCAGCTGGAAGGCTGAGGGTGTTAGGGGCCACACATCCACCAAACATGTTCTCATCTCCTTTGGCTAGAGCAAAGGCCCTGATTCAGCCCAGTCCTGGGGCTCTGGGGACCAAGATAGAAGCAGAGGGCTCCTGGCCTCCCTGCCCAGGAGAATGCCCTGGTTGGCAGTGAAATATTGATTAAAGGGGAGTCATAAGGGAGGGAGAGCCCCAAGGTGGTTGGGTGATGGCTCTACTCCTAACTGCCTTCTGCCAGGCTCTGCTGACCCCGGAGGACGCAGTCCTGTCGGATGAGCTGAACCATGCCTCCATCATCGATGGTATCCGTCTGTGCAAGGCCCACAAGTACCGCTACCGCCACCTGGATATGGCCGATCTGGAGGCCAAGCTGCAGGAGGCCCAGGTGGGACAAGGCCTAGCGGTTCTAGGGGCCAGGACTGGGCTTATCCGCAGTCTTGCTGCTGCACCCAGCACTCCCCCCACCCCCACCCCCACCCCCCGGTGAAGGAAGCGAGGCTTACAGAGGCCAACTCCTCACTCACAGGCAAACAGCCTGAAAGTTCGAAACAACCAAGATTTGAACCCAAATTCTCAGACCCAAAGCTTTATTCCGTTGCACAATACTGCCTTGAGTTTTAGTAAGCACCTTATGCATGGCAGTCCCCTGCTAGGCATAAGGGTGGGATGAGCTTATGGGCAGGACTGGCCACACCCCATCCTGCCCTCTGGGAGAGGAGGCTGCGGACATTCTTCCTGCCCAGTGCTGAGCGTGGCTCCAGACTGCCCCGGAAGAGCTGGGTAAAGCTCAGAGAGGCCCCAGTGAAGGAGAGGATGCACCAGCTTCAACATGTGGTGCTTATGTGCTCACCTCTGTGCTGGGCACTGGGCGAGCTGAGCCTATAGAGCCCCGAGCAGCGCAGAGAGTGAGTGGTTTGGCCCAACTCATGATACCGGCCACCTTCTGTATCTTCCCTGCAGAAGCATCGGCTGCGCCTGGTGGCCACCGATGGGGCCTTTTCCATGGATGGTGACATCGCACCCCTACAGGAGATCTGTTGCCTTGCCTCTCAGTATGGTGCCTTGGTCTTTGTGGACGAATGCCACGCCACTGGCTTCCTGGGGGCCACGGGACGGTGAGAGCACACGGCACCTGAGGCCTTGGGTTGGACTCCAGGGCGGGTGGGAAGTCGGGAGGCCAGCCCCCAAGCCCAATCCGTGATCCTGGGTACTCAGGTGGCCAGTGGTGGCAGTGGCAGCTTCCCTTGCAGGGGCACAGATGAGCTGCTGGGCGTGATGGACCAGGTCACCATCATCAACTCCACACTGGGGAAGGCGCTGGGCGGAGCATCAGGTGCCTACAGGCTCGTGCCCCTGGGCTCCCCTCATCTGCATGCAGGGCCCTGGAAGAGGGAAGGTGGGGAGGGGAGACCTGGGGCTGCAGGGAAGAAGACAGCAGGGACTGTCCTCTCGGGAGGGGCATGGGGTAAGCTCTGGCTCCTGGCCTCTGACTGCCCCCCTCCATCCCCACCTCTGTCCTTGTTCTCAGGGGGCTACACTACAGGGCCTGGGTCCCTGGTGTCCCTGCTACGGCAGCGTGCCCGGCCCTACCTCTTCTCCAACAGTCTGCCACCTGCTGTCGTCGGCTGTGCCTCCAAGGCCCTGGACCTGCTCATGGAGAGCAACGCTGTCATCCAGTCTATGGCGGCCAAGACCCAGCGGTGCGGTCTCGGGCAGGGTGGGGCCCGCGGGGGCGAGGAGGCTGGTGAGGGCCTGCCCTGCGTGCCTGCGCAGGCCCTAGCTCTCTGCCTACGGGTTCTGCCTCTGCCCACCCCACTTCCCCAGTGGGTTGCACTGGGACTCGGCTCTCTTAGCCAAGGGCTGCCTGCTTGCCCACCTCCCTGTTCTCTCTGCCTCTTCCTTCCATTTCCTGGCACATTTCTCTGCAAATGCTCCCCATCTGCCTCTCTGGGTCTGCATCTCTGTCTTTGTTGGTCCCTCCTGCAGACTTGGCCACAAACCTTGGGTCACATGCCCATCAGGAGAGGGTGTGGTTGCTCCACAGCCCTCCAGCTCCCTGTGACACCCAATTTGTGCCCACAGATTCCGCAGTAAGATGGAGGCTGCTGGCTTCACCATCTCGGGAGCCAATCACCCCATCTGCCCTGTGATGCTGGGTGATGCTCGGCTGGCCTCTTGCATGGCGGATGACATGCTGAAGAGAGGTAAAGGGGGCCGGGGCATGAGGAGTGGCTGTAGGTCCTAAAAGAAAAGGAGGGAACCCCTAGACTGTGAATACCCCCCTTCCCCCTGCTCTACTACCCCTTTTAGACCAGCTGTCTGTCCAAGCTTGAAAACCCTAGGCCATGAGGCAGTCCCATGTCTGAGATCTTGGGCAGCTCCCTTCTCCTCTGTGGTCCTCAGAAAAGGAGGAGCTGTATATCATGCCCCAAAAGCCTGTCTGGCTCTGTTGAGCCCCAGGTTGACTCTCTCTACCCTCCCAGGCATCTTTGTCATCGGGTTTAGCTACCCCGTGGTCCCCAAGGGCAAGGCCCGGATCCGGGTCCAGATCTCGGCGGTGCACAGCGAGGAGGACATTGACCGCTGCGTGGAGGCCTTCGTGGAGGTGGGGCGGCTGCACGGGGCACTGCCTTGAGTCCTGGGTAGTGACAAGCAGAGCCAAGGTCTCCCTCCTTCCACAGCGACAGAGAGGGGGGCCTTTGACCAGCCCAGGCCAGAGGCTCTGAACTCTGTCAGTCCCGGGGCCGGGCGGGGGTGAGGCCTGTGCTTGTGGCTGTGAGTGTGAAGGAACAGTGTGGAAACTGGCTGTGACGCGTTGGTCTGCTTTATTCTCTCGGAGCAGCCCCAGTCCTGCGCTGGTCGAAGAATCGGCAGGAGCTGGGGCTCTGAGGGCCAGCTCCGGAGGACTGTAATAGATCTCAGAGCTGACCGCCTCCCCCAGAGTAAGATGGGACCCAGGCAGCTCGGGTAATAGAGGCTGGAGCCACTGTTTGGCTCCGTTGGATTCTTTCCCGCTGTAGAGGGCAGCTGAGCCCCAGCCCTGCAGGCCCCTTCCCGCGCCACCCACCCGCCTACTCTGCAGCCTTGGTGGACACCTCGTCCTCTGCTGCACATCCAAAGGATGGCCTACAGCTGCCCAGATAAGAAGGGGCTGGGCACCCAAACCCATGTTTGGGAGAAGCAGAAGATTCAGCCCCAGAGGAAAGATTGTCTGTCGCTATTGGAGAGGCCCCCGATGGTCTGGAACTCTGTGTTCTAGCCCACTTTGTTCCTGCCTCTGTGGCCTTAGGCAGGCTCCTACCCCGTGTGTACCTCAGTTTTCCCCGCTGTACCAAGAGTGGCTGTTATATTGGTATCAGGGCCTTTCCATTTCCGTATTCCCGAGGCCTGCTGGTCTGAGGATCAGCCGCCAGGGGGCGTAGCGAGCTCAGGCTCTGCTATCGCCCCGCCCCCTCCAGATTTCTGGCCTCGGACTCAGCTGTTGCTACAGCGCCAAAGGCAAGGCCCCACCCTGCCTTGCCCCCGACGATGGCTCACTGCTTCCCTGCTGAAGATGACTGTCCCCTTCCCGCAGTCACAACCCGTGGTGCTTCTCTCTCCATTGCCCTCCCCACCTCAGACTTACGGGCACCTGGTGGGGGTAAAGGATGGGTTCTGAGTCACCGCGCCTCCAGCCTCAGCATGTTGTGGGCTTGGGAAGCTCGTAGTTTGCTGGCGATAGGGCAGGGAGGATGAAAAGGCCCTTCTTCATTGACGATGGGACCATGTTTCTGGCGCCCCCCATCCCCAGCCCCCCCTTCAGCCTGGGTGTCTAGGGATGGACAGTCTGGGTGAGCTCTGGCCCGATCCATCAGGATCTTAATGCTGGGATTCTGAGAATCCTAGCCTGTGCTCCCGAGGAGCTTGAGGCTGGGGTCCAGGAGCTCGGGGTGCTAGGGGATGCAGCCCCATCAGGGGCACAGACACACGTAGGGCATCTGGCACCAGGTGCACTCCTACAGCAGCAAGTACACACAGCCTGATGCCAGCCCCTGGCCAAGCCAGCAGCTTGACCTGCATGGTCTGCTCAAGCTGGCAGGTCCTAGTGGGTGGCCATGAGCAGCCACGGGGGGACAAGTCGCAGTAGGTGAGGCTGAGATAAGGTGGACCTAGGTGAGGTCCATCAGCCAGTGGCGCACAGCGAGCGCCGTTGCGGCCTGTAGTTCCCAGGCGCCGCCGCTGACATTGTGGGGCGGTGGCAGTGCCTCGACACCGTGGGCCAGCTTGTCGCGGTAGAGCACCGCGTCATCAGCCGGCTTTTGGCTCAGCATGTGGAGCTGTGCTGGCCCAGGTCCACCGCGGCACAGCCCCTCCGCCACCATCCAGAGGGGTCATAGGAGGTGCCAGCAGGTGCAGTGGCAGCTCTGGGCACACATGCTTGGGCTTGGGCACGTACTGGTCATCGCCAGAGGCCAAGACAGGCTATAGGGCCGAGGGCCCGTCGTGGACAAGCTGCACTTACACACCCTGCAGAGCCTGGGTCTCTGGGGACCACTCCCAAGGCCCATCATCTGTCATCTACGTTGGGTGCAGGGTTCAAGGCCACAGTCACCAGGAGCAGCAGTTGGAGCGAGGGAAGAGGGGTGCCTGGGGCCCGCTGGGACTCGGGCCATAGCGAGGCGCCCTTCCTGCCTTCCCCACAGGTGGTCTCCCTGGTTGCCACCATCCTCCCTCCTCCTCTGCTATCATATCAGCAGCTCAGCCTTGCTGCTGCTGGGAGCTCTGCCCTAGTACTGCCCCTGCCCATCCAGAGCTTAGCCTCCAACAAGGAGGGACATGGTGGGCTGGGGGCTCCCAAGCGGAGGGAGGACGGTGTGTCAGGGACCTCGGGGCTTTCAGGGTCCAGGCCTGCCACATTTGTGAGTCCAGGCTTCTGGGAATCTAACAGTGCATTACTTTCACACAGGGTGGTTGTGGACCCCTAAATTCTTAAATCCCACCACACCAAGTCTGGATCCTACAATTCTGCTCTTCAGAGATGACACGATTCTACGATTCTAATTCCTTAATTCAATTTTGATAGCTCTGAATTCAGGTTTGGAGAATCTAGGTATGATCCCTAATATCTTCAATTCAGTGAGTCTCTGCTTCCAGAAATTGGGGGATGCGCTGCATCTGGGATGGGTGACATGAGGCTTCAGAGGTGCCTGAGCACTGGTGAAAATCCCAGGGCCCGTGGGAAGCCAGTTCTGAAGAGTCTCTTCCCGGCTCCTCAGGCCTTGGTTACAAGTCCTGTCTTCATCAGCGTCCCCTCAGACTGTTTTCTCTCCCCTTTCACAGACTTCTTGACATTCGCCCCACCCTCCCAGCTTCTAGAAAGACACCACACAGTGCCTACCAGCTCTCCTCTCCCTTAATTCATTACAGACAGCATCCTGGCCCCACTACACTTGTCTAGTTTTCAACAACCACCTTGTTGCTGAATCCAATGTACCTCACACCCCGGGTGCTGGCCTCTAACCCTCTGGAAGCATGTGGCCATGTGGCCCACTCCTCCAAGAGGTCCAGACCAGAACCCCATGACTGAATGATACAGCCATTCACCGAGACCTAGTAACCTCTTCGGCTGTTGTCTGGACAAGAGGCTCCTAGTGGCTCACTCATTAAATCGCTCCCCTTCTATTCATCCTTTTAACCCCAGGCCGTAATAAACTAATTACACAATAAATGGGCAGGTCCTGTCCCTGCTCTAGAACCTCCTCTAGTTCCCCATTCCCCTCAGGCTAAAGCCAGACTCTTTGGACAGGCACATAAACCCTGCAGGCTTCGGGCAGACTGAACCCCTAGAACAATCTTAGGGAAACTGATGGGTCTCAGAATTCTCAGGGGCCAGGAAGAGTAGTTCTATCTGAAGTCTGCAGCAAAGGGGCTCCTGGATTCCTAGCATAGGACACCCCACTCAAGACTAGGAGTCCTGGGACTTCCCTGATGGTCCAGTGATTAAGACCCCACGCTTCCAGTGCAGGGGGTGGTCGGGGAACTAAGATCCCACATGCCACACAGCGTGGCCAAAAAACCCACAAAAGACTAGGGGTCCTTTCTGAACTTCTGTTGGAGCCCTTCTTGGAGCAGGGAGCAGAGACGATGGGGAAGCAGGACCACAGGAGGTGAGAGGGCCAGGAGTGGACTGGGCCCTGGGCACAGAGGGGTTAACTACAAGGCGAGAATCTCAGAGAGCGAGATCAATGGGTTACTCGCTGCAGAAAGAGGCAGAAGCAACGCAGAGAGGCAGAGGAGAGCCGGACAGAAGAGCGTGCCATCCGGGGGAAATCAGGGAATGAGGAGGAAGTGGCTACTTCTTCGGAAGGAGTGCCCAAGTCCAGCTCAGCAGAGGAAGGCCAAGGAGAGGAGGGAGCCTTGGGAGGCAGACCTGTACCTGCAGGTGGGCACCAAGGGGTGGCCACTGAGCCAGGAGGCAGCTTCAGCCTGGCCGGTTCGCCCAGGATCAAGCAGGAGCCCAGTGCCCAGGGTTGAGGTAGGTGTTGGCCATCCTGGGCTTTGCGGGGACCTGCTGCATGCTGGGGTGGGAGACACAGATATCACCCTTCCTTCCTCCTCCCTGCCTGGCTCCCTTGCCCTTAATACGTCCAGCCACCCCAGAGGTCCAAGCATGTAGGGAGACCCCCAGGTAGCAGTCGACATGGGCCATGGGTGGGGCAGGGGTAAAGAGTGAGCACAGCTTGCGTAGATGCTCGTGTGCGCACACACACGCGCGTGCACAGATCGTCAGAAGCGCTACCTGTTACAGGCTCTCAGATGAGTGCTCCAGCCTTGGAGTCAGGGTACCAGGGTGGCAACAGTCTCAGACCTGCCACTCTACGTGTGGTATTAGCCTCCCGTGTCCCCTCTCTGAGCCTCAATTTCCTCATGTGTAAAAAGGGGGCAGTGACTTACATGGTTCTCCCAGCTGTGCCACTGTCATGCTCTCACTAAACTGGACTATCAAATGACTCAGGGACGTCACCCATGTTTGGCTGAATTTGACCTATGTCCCAAAGCCTTCCTTAGGACTTCCCTGGTGGTCCAGTGGTTAAGACTCCACCCTTCCAATGCAGGGGGGCGTGGGTTCGATCCCTAGTCGGGGAACTAAAATCCCACATACCGCTCCCACCTACCGCGTTGTGTGGCTAAAAAAAAAAAAAGCCTTCCCTGTATTTCAGATCCCCATTGAAAAATCAGCTCCTGGGGTTGGAGCTGCCCCTCCCCCCACCCCACTTTGCCTGTGTCTTTACCTGCATCATCGGTTGAAGGTGTCTATCAACTACCTAATCAGCCCTTCATGCCCTGGGCTAGGGGTGTTCCCCAGGAAATTGAGAAACCCACCTTAGACGCCAATGAGACTCTGTCAGGAGCTCGCACAGTGGGTCCCAGTGATAACTTTTGTCTCTGTCCCCACCCCCACCCCCATCCCCCACCAGCTTCCAGCCCATGGGACGTGACCAAGCCCAGGGTGGGGGACTAGACCCCTGAGTTGAGTAACCGGAGCTGGGGGCTCCTGCCTGAGGACTCCAGCTTCTCTTCCTCAGGTGCCTGTCTGATGAGGAGATGGCTGATGCCCAGAACGTTTCGCTGGACAGCCCAGGGAGTATGGGGGCTGTGGCAGTGCCCGTGGTCTTTGCCCTCATCTTCCTGCTGGGCACAGTGGGCAATGGGCTGGTGCTGGCAGTGCTGCTGCAGCCCGGCCTGGGCACCTGGCAGGAGCCGGGCAGCACTACGGATCTGTTCATCCTCAACCTGGCAGTGGCCGATCTCTGCTTCATCCTGTGCTGCGT